CAGCTCCTCTTTGATTGGTGCTTTGGATTGGTTGTTTGGTGGTTAGGGAGTGGCTTCTCATTGACCTTCTACAAGAGCCAGGGTTCATAATTATCCTCAAACCACCACCAATGAAGGGTTGCCTAATGTTCACTAGTTGGCACTCGGAGAAAATAATCAAACTAGCAAATTTGGAGGAAGCTGTGAGCTGACCGCATCTGGCTTCCTATCGGAACTCGGCTACGGCTGCCGGACCGCCTCTCCGGAAAAAGGCCACATGCTCACAGGGCACGCTGAGAATCATTCCATTTCTCTTTCCTTGCCTATCGAACCAGCAAGATGAAGGAAACTCCAAAACAGCCAAGAGTTGGCAAAAAGGTGAGCTGAGTCCAACGTGACCTCACTTCAGCGTCAGCTCTTACCCTGGAGCTCGTCACCTAGCCATTCTATAGCACCACGGCGGAAAAATGCACGCCGCTAACGGCAAGGGCCTCTTCAAACGCTTGCGGCCCTTGCGCCCGAACTCGGCGAGCGAAACCGGGCTGGTCTCCAAATGGGGAACCCCCAAAATGGGTGATGTCACTTTGGGTTCCCTTTACAAACAGCACCAAATCCAGGAAAACTGTGAACATCCTGAGAACAAACCACGATTGCTCAACTCCTTTTAAACCCCGACAAAGGCTACCCTCTTGAGACCGGCCCAAATCTCGGGGTCATCCCAAGCAGCCGAGCCACCAGCAACCATCAGCCGACAACTTACAAATCCGGTCCCCGGTGGCGCGCGCCCGGAGTCGTCGGCGGCTCAAATCCCATGGCTCGGCCGCGGGTTCGTTCCCCGGATTCGTCTAAAAACCGCTAAGTCCACAAGCGCGAGCGCCTGTCGCGGGGGGGTGGGGATCAAAACGACCCCCTTGGGCAAAATGGTGTACAGTGGGAGGGCTCCGACATCCAGTTTGAGAAAACCCCAATCAACAGGACACGTTGGTGAGAAACACAACAATGCACGCTTACACCCCCTGACCTGTGCTTCTGCAACCGGCAAGCTTTAAAGGCTGATTGTATGCCACGTCTCGGCCGAAGCTAGGGGGGCTTCCTATCTTTATATCGCTTGTGGCCCAGCAACAACCCTCTGGCGGATTTAGGAGAGTCGCCATCGCATTTCCAGAGTTCCTGCCATAGGGTCCAATGCTCTGGCTGTGGATTCCACAGCCACCAATGCTCTGCTCAGAGACTTTGTAAGAGTTTGATATCCAAAACCAACTTGTTCGTTGCGGCAAGCAGTCACACCCGGCCTACAGGTTCTTGTCCTCTTCCTCCGGCTTCGCCTTGGGCTCCGCTTTTGGTTCCGCCTTGGGCTCCGCCTTTGGCGCCTTCGCGTTCGGGACCTCCTCCTTGTCTTGCGCCGGGCCCGAAACCTGCGGAGCCGGCGCCGGCGCAGGGGGGGCAGGAGCCGGGGCTGGTGCCGTTCTCACCCTCGGCGCCGTCTTCGGTTCGGGCGCCGTCTTCGGTTCGGGCACCGTCTTCGGTTTGGGCGCGGGCTTCTTCGGAGATGGCTGTCCTGGCATCGCCAGCTGAAGGAGGTTGGATGATATTGTGGCTTCCGAATTTGTGGTTTCAATTGGTGGCTTGGGGATTCGAACCCTGTTTTGCATGACACCCCCAATTCCAGAAAGTCATGTGTGTGTTTCTCTCGCAAACCCAGGTGGTTCTCCCAATGTCCTCACCGCGCCCACACCACCAGGGTCGACACTCCACCTTTTTGTCGGTACCTGATCTTACAGGACCAACCCCTCCCGAAAACAAAAACAAACAAGCCAATAAACGCCACATCCCCACCCCAGCCCCCCCCCTCCACACCATAGGCGGCCTTTTGGAAAAGTTAGATGGCCCTGGTAAATGGAATAAACCCCATCTAAACCAGCGCCATCTATCTTGAGCCAAACTCACCTCAAAAGGACACCTGTGCTCCCCACCCCGATGTGGCGCCGCTTTTGTTACGCGCCCTGTGGCGCCTGGCAGCTTTGGCTCTGCGGGCCGCCTGGGAACGTCGGCTAGGCCAAAGGGGCATGGCGCCTCCTTTTTAAGACGGCAACATGGCGCAGCCGCTTTTCCGGTTGTTTGTTGTTCTTAAAACCGCCCGGGAAAAAAAAGAGAGAACAACAAAAGGGGAGAAACAAAAAAAAAACGGGAGGTGTTGCTGAGAATTAGGTTAAGTTTGTTTTGGTTTCGCTTGGGCCCTACGGTCACCACTTTGGCTGACACAACTCAACTGGAGGTGTCTTAAAATGGAGTTCCCTTGAAATGGCTGGTTCGTGGGAAACCAAACGGACACCAACACCTCTAGGAGTTGGTCCCTAAGTCTAAGAAACACCCAAACGGAATGTGTCAAACCCCCCCCAACATCTGGTTTTGTGGGAGCAAGGTGACCTTCAAAAACACAAATAGGTTCATGCGGGCGAGCACGTGCTAGCCCGCGGGTTGATGAACCCATGCCTTGAAGTGGCGAACATGAAGGGCGAAAAACTGGTCCCCGCAAGCTCCACTTGCTGAGCGCATGGCCCAAAACATTTCAGTCGTTCGGCATGCCACGAAAATGGTCCCAACCCAAGCCAAGGAACTCAGGACGTGAGCAAGGCGTGTCTTTTGCTGCTCAGGGTTCGTGGTCTCGAATCTCAACTCTGAGACTCAGGTAGAAATCTCCGACCTTTGCATTGGGAAAGTCAGGATACTCATTTGCTGGGCGAACCCACGCGAAACCCGCCAAGGCAAACAAGAGATCCTACTGGACAACTGGCTTTGGAAGTCCCTTCATGATTCACTGGCACATGGTAAACAAAAGAACCAACATGTGTGTGTGTGTGTGGGTGTGTGCGTGTTTGATGTTGCGGTAACCCTTTTTTGGCGTGGTTCAAAAGGAACACCGAAAGCAATGTGTGTTTTTGTCTTTGGGGGGGGTTCCCCTACTTGGAGACAAACCCAAACAGGCCCAAAGTCACGTGGAAAAAGTCCATTCTCCTGTTACAGTGCTTTATCTGAACGGAAACCCCATCCAAAGAAAACATGGGTACTGGAGGCATCCGGGCAAGCATAAGGGCGCTACAGGTTAACTTCATTGGTGACGATTCTGTTGGGCTTCATATTAATCTGCCCCAGTGCTTCCAGTTTCCAATATAGTAAGTCGGAGGACACCATCCATGTGGCTGTGTCTGTGTTTGAGGGCACCCCCTTTTTGCTGGTCTAGATAAAAACCTCAACAGGAAAATCCGCAAAAAGACGAGCCATCCATGTAAAGCGAGGTCAAAACCAAACTTTGGTCACCGTCACGTGGTCACAAAGGAAGCGCTCGGTGAGGAACTCCGTCATCGCTTCCTTGGGAATCCCGGCAGCCGTTTGGCCAGCTGCCGAAGGTACCACACGTCCTCGCGGAGGTTTTCTTCTTTTTCTCGCCGGGAGGACGGCGCGCAAGCGTTTCCCCCGGCTCCGATGGACGTGGAATGTATAAAACCGCGTTTGTGTTTTTGTCTTTTACTAGAAATATAATAATATCGTACTTGTTTCTTTCTTTGAGAGAAGCCTTTTGGGGAAATTTGCTGAATGGGTTGCATTTGTTAATTTGCGGAGCAGCTGGCAGCCCACGACAAAACCACACGTGCGACAAGGATGACGACAACAAAAGTCATGACAGCACCAACGTGGACGACCCTTGAAGCGACCACCACACGAACAACCAAACCACGAACAAGAATCACAAGAACCTACAAACCACGAGAACCATAACGACAATAACCACAGCAATCACTGCCACAGCAGCAACCACTGCAAACAGAGCAACAGCGACAGTGACAAGCACGGCAATAGGCACAGCAACGCCAATGCCAAAACATGACGACAACGACATCATCCCATACTCCTCCTCATTGTCACTAGGTTGCCTTTGAGTGTCGTAAGCAGCCCCAAAAGGGAACCGACCCTCAAACAGTGACAGTCCCGCCATGTGTAGCTTGCGGGCCACAACCGCTTGAATGCGTTGGCCCCTCTCAAATGGAGGAATCTGTTTCCGTTGGGGGTGTCTCAATATCGGGGGCCCAATGTTGGATGCACCGGAAACCCAAGGGAAACAAGCCAGTTGCAGGCCATGTGCAAACATGAAGTACTCCAGCTCTTCGGAGGCTGCAACAAGAGATTTGCCAGTCACCGCTTTTCAAAAAAGGAACATGTTGAACAAAACTACTATACCCAAAACTACTATACCCAAAGGCTCCCGATTGGTCTAGGGCCTTCAAACAACCTGGTTTTGAGACCCACCACCTCCGGGGTGTCTAATGGAGGGGTCGGGTCTTCCATTGAAAGCCCCAGCCTCTGGGTACCCAAAGTAAACCCTAGACCAATTTTCCGGGAATGGGCAAGGTGGATGCCAAAGCCTGGCGAGCCTTGTTCCTAAGGCGTAAGGCTCCCCTCACAGAAACCCCATTTCTCGCCCGGACATCACCCCCAAATGGGAGACATACTTGCGTTTGTGATGCTCTCCTCACCTTGAACAACTTTCCTCACCAATGACCTTCTGAGGGCTTCCATATTAAAGGACTATGTCTTCGGGAAAGAACTGGGGCTCCCCAAAAGTACATCTCAAAATCGAACGTTTCCCACGATAATCCTCTATATCATATGCGAACACAGCAATCTCTGCCACAGCAGCAACCACTGAAAACAGAGCAACAGCGACAGTAACAAGCACGGCAATAGGCACAGCAACAAGTCCAATTTCAAAACATGGCATCTCAACGCAAGAAAATGTCTCTTTCCCACAACCAAAGCCAAGCGAAGTGTATTCGAGCTCAGGGCGAAGCCGAGAGCGGGTTCGGAACCGGTCCTGCTGCAAAACCTCTTCTATCCTCGCCAGTTCCCAGTTCTCCTGAGAATTCTCGAGGCGAGAAATCTTTGTGTGGGAACTGGGATCCGCATAGAGGACCAATTTCTACAGGGAAGGCCATGGAATTAACTCCTACCAGGCATGGCAATTCCCATCAGGGTAGGCCATGGGGTCCCAAACAGTCCGATGCACAAGTCACGGGTAGGTTCCGTTTTTGGAAGGTGTCCCTAGCGTAACAGACATGAGGCGATTTGCGTACGTGCCCAACAGAAAAGCCATCTCCTCCCAAGTACTGGGGACCTTTTGCGAGTGTGGGCGCAACCCTTTTGGGCCCAAATCAGGCGGTTCCTTCTTTAGGCGTGAAAATCGACAATCAAAGACCCGCACCCTAAACGATGCCCATGCTAAACTCCATGGCAACCCAACAAACACCCCGAACCCACCCCCCACCATTTTCTACACTTGGAGTTTGGTCATCCTTCGGGGCAACCAACCAACACGGCCCAATATGGCCATGGGTTCATGAAGGGGTACGGAATACTTCCAGCCTCTGATACAAGCAGTCGAAGCCTAAGCAGCTACTTTGAGGGTGCTACACGCTCACAATCCCCCGCCCGGAAGTGAGGGATTTCAAGCAACAACCATCCCATGCATTTGGATTTGTGTCATGCCAACCAAAGTCTGATATGGGTGTGGGTCAAACAAAAAGGTACCCAACATGGATGGATCCCTGGTAAATGGAAACATGGACCAATACCTGCGGTCCAATTCCTGGTGGTTTAATTTTGACTCATACGGTACCCATATCTTCCTTTTGATCTCCCTGGAAGCCAGCCTGCAAAGGGCAGAGGGCCTCAACACCTCACTGGATGCCGAGTCGATTCGGTTCGGTTGTTCCGGACGCTGGGCATCCGGGCAATCACCGGCAGAAGCAGCGGGCTGCTAACCTTAGAGCATGGGGGGTCGTGTTCTGGCTTCTTTGGGGTACCATTTGAGGGGTTCCTGAACTGGGAAGCCACAAGAAATTGCTTTTTGGGGGACCCTTTGTCGGGGTTTGTTTTCGGGGAAACCACAAGAATCATCGCAGCGGGGTCGAAGTTGCGTTTTTTTTTTTTTTGTTTTTTTCCTTTTTTTTCTCGGGGTTTACTTACGGGGAAACCACCAGAAATATCACAAAAGCCCGAAGGTTGCGGGTCCACAAGCATCCCTGCGATTCCAGTTACTGCCTAGCAGGGAAAATCCAAACCCAGCACCAGTTGCGATTGCCGGAAGCTCCGGCCGGTCCAACTCGGATCTTGGGGCTAAGGCGAAAAAAACGGGCAACTGAGGTAGAAGTGTGCATTTTTCCCTCCGAGCGCCGGATGGTGAGTTTTAAGCTGCCCGCCTGAGATTCGATTAAGGGCGGGTCTTGGGATGGTTGAGGTGCATGTTGGCTCAGCAAAAAGCGTATATCCAGGCTGCTGTTGGGTGGGTCTTGGGTTGACTTTGAAAAGCTTTGGGCTGGCTTGGAGCTGATTTGTGCTATGCGCTTGGTTTGGAAGTGGCTTTAGGGTTGCTTTGGGGGCGAGGTGAGTTTTGGGCTACTTTTTCGCCGGCCTGCGCCAACACGCCAACACCCCGTTCCGCAACCAATGCTCGCGCGGAGCCCCCGAACTTCTGGGGCGAGTCCCATTTTCGCGACCCTAGGGAAAACCCCACACCTTGAACGCACCCGGTTTCGCGTGCCATCGCCCTCGTGACTGACCAGCCTGACATGGGACGTGGATACCTAGTAGAAAGCAAGCTTTTTTGGAGACACTCTGGATGCAAACCAACAAATTGGGTGATGGTTCAACTTCCACAGGACCAATACTATTCACTCTTGTTGGCAACCTCTAACTATTCAGCCACAAAGAAGGGTGGAAACTCAGTCAGAAACCAAAGCAAATGGTTTGGGAATGCCTACCCCCCAACTCCGCCGAAAACGACTTGACATACCTTCCCCAGTCCTTGCTTTTCCCTAGGTCCTCCAGTAGAGAGGTTAGAACAAGAGTACCAACTTTTTTCTGCAGTCTATTTTAGTAGGGGAACCCTCGCCCAAAAAAGGGGTTAAGAAGGGCACTACCGGGGGACCTTCCACTTCGTAGGCTACTTTTCGGCTGGCCCGTGGCTTGTGCGCTGGGTGTCTGCCTCTTCCGATCAGATCGAAGTCTCAGATACTGGGTTGACCAACAAGTCAGCTTGTCCAAACAGGAAACATACCACTTTTCCAGGGACCTACCGTCACTTGTGCCAAGGTGGTCCCCTTGGAACCTCCAACGTGAGGTTTTCCGGGCTCCCAATCTTTGGAAAAGAGACCCCCATGGCGTCAGTGAATGTTAACTTTGGAGTGATCTGGAGGACTAGCCAGAGAAACCCCCAAAAGTAGATTGTGTCCTTACTAAAAAGGGGAACCGGCCCTGATTAGTGCACAATCCGAAGTCAACACCAGCACCCCCCCAACTACTGCTTTTTAGACAGTGGGGTGCTGGCTTTGCACACTGTTCGACATTCCCACAAACGCGTTGCCCCTTTTCCCAGTGGGTATCCAGCGATTTTCCCCTTTAGCCTGGGAATCACCCAGGGGGTTGGGGATGAACCCAGGGTTCCCCTTAAAGGAAACCAGGATGGCTACAAGGGCTCATTCCAACTCATCTCTGCCTAGGGATTTGGGTACATACGATGGGTAATTGGATCCGCTGGGGTTGGTACATTGGGTGGTAAATGGATGCAAATGGTTGGTATCCATTTATGGGTAGATTGGTTTGATAGGTACATGGAATCACTGGGTACCTCCTACGATGCACTCAAATGCCCAGTGGATTTCCATGGGGAAAAAAAATTGGGCACCTTTCTGGTTGCTTGAGTTTAAGGGGGAACCTTCCCCCCAAAAAACAATATATGTTCCGGTTGAGTTAGGGGAACCTTCCCCCCCAAAAAAACAACATGTTCTGGTTGAGTTAGGGGAACCTTCCCCCCCAAAAAAAGAAGGGGGAACCGCTGGTTGCAACCGAGTTCTTTGGTAAATGGATCCTGGCCGGCTTTGGTTAGAGGACGTCCTTTCCACCGGGCGCCCGGCGCTTCGGATCATGGCCTCCAAGCGCGGCCTCACGGTTTCCCAGCGGATGCGGAGGTCCTGAGGGAAGCATAGCTCCAGCGCGAGCAAGCCGGCTTATTCTAGGCGTGGTTCTGAATTCCAACAGGTCTTGGCTGGGTTTGGTTTTCCCATAGGTGTGGTCTTCCCACAGGTTTGGTTTCTTCCCGCAGGTTTGCTTTTTTCCCCTAGGTTTGGTTCCAGAGGGCTTGGTTCCCGGCGTGGTTTTGCCCTAGGCTTGGTTCCAGCTTCGGCTCCTGTAGGTTTGGTTGCAGGAAGGTGACCGGGACCCGTGCGCCAAAACAAACCCAAAGCTCGGCCTCTGGAAAACCACGCGGTCGGTTTTCGTCAAGTCGCGGGAATATGCTGCGCGCGTGGAACCTTGAGTCGGAAAGCGTGGGACATCCGCGAAGGGGGTGACACCCAAAAACCGAACACAGACCGGGCAACCCCAGTTATAGAGTAGGTCGCCAACGTTGTCCTTTTGTAGTCTTCTAAGCCTCTGAGCTGACCGGGCTATTCCGTTTAACCGCACCACTCGAAATAAAAACCGAAAGGAAGATGGCGCAGGGCTTCCTATAGTGGTAACTGGGAATGAACATTTGCCAAACTAAAGCCTCTATATATATATATATATATATTGCCCTAGGGTCAGTAAAGACTGGCCCCAAATTTCACCAATCTAACTGGGATCCACTGGGTACCCCATGTCTCCATCGACACCGCTCCGAACCTGTCCGGAACTTGTCCGCCAGTGAGCCGCGAGCAGGCCGCGATGTGAGCGGCCAAACCCCAAAGCTTTCAGCGAACCACGAACCTGGAAACCAAACAGTTTGGTCGCGTACTGCCTGTTTGAGGCTGCCCTATAACGAATCGTTCAAAGGGAAAAACCAACAGGATTTGCAAATCCGAAATCCTTGATCCAAATCCCGAGTGTTTGAAGACCCAAACTGAACCGAGACCTTCCCTTTCGCTCTCCTCGCCCTCGCTGTGGATGAAGGTGTTGTGATACACCGTCTCAAAGAGGGCGTTCAGCCCTGCGGAAAGGACGCTTCTTTTGTTGGGCTCGTTGAAACATGGGGTTTTTTCTGCAAAGGCCAGAAAACCGTAGCCAAATCGCTCCCAGTGAAAGCGGAAATTCCACTTAAAGTTCAGTGATTTCCCTTTGAATAGTCACTAAATTGGCAACCCCCGCATTCCCAGACGGCCGTCTAAAGGCACCAGGGGATGTGGTGCTAGGTGTTCCCTAAATGAATGGCAGTTTGACGGCAGACAACGGCTTCCAGATTCTAAAGTAGCAAGCATTTCTTCACCCCAATTTGTTTAGTCTCCTTTTGGCTTTCTCGCTTGCAACCAAGAGAATCGACCTTTTGACCTTGCGTCGCGCAAGGATTCTCATTTCATGCATACCAAGGGGTCCTCCAATGGTCCCTGACCGGCCCAGAAGTGACCCGCGTATTGCAGATTTTGGTACAGAAGGGTGCTCCAAAGCTCCAGACTTGGAAGGGTTCCGCTGTCGGGAATACCAGCTGAGATTCTGTTCTTTAAGCTGGGGGTTGGGGGTTTACCCCATGTGCGAGCCAGAGCCATATGGCGCCTTAAGGGCAAGACTACGACTTTGGACAACACTGAAACACCACATCTGGCATTGATCATTCCAAGCTGCGCATCGGTAGGTTGGCAGTATGTGGTCTTGAACAGTATAGGTCGCCGCAATCACTGGCCACGGGGATCCGCCTTCTAGTGATAAACTTGATTCCTTGATTCATCAAAGTTGTCATGGTTGGGTGGGAATCAACCACGGTCCAAGTACTTCATTCGGTTTTGGGTAAAAGGGTAGTTGGGGGACTGTGACCTCCAAAACATAAAGCAAGGATGCTCGTTTCTGCGATAGCCCCGTCATCGAACCGGGTGAAGCCGTAGATGCCCTCAACGTAGCAATGGCACGTGCTTGAGAACTGATCCTGTTGGCTGTGAATGCAGGCGATAGCATCCGCAAGGCCAGCTTGGCAGCTTGTCCACTGGGACACTTCATCTCAAGGTCCTCCCCAGTCTATCAGCATGCGCGTGTGTTCGTGCGTACCTCTCGACCCGCAAAAACTGCCCAATCAGTTCTTTCCTTGACATGGTCATGGCGCCAACGAAGGGTGATCGATCGGAGAGGGTGTCTTAAAAATATGCCAAACTTCCTAGCAACCCTGCGCCCCCAAGCTTGTGAAGTTGAATTGGGTTATAAGCCTCCCGACTGTGCTTCTCCGCTTTTTGGGTAAGCCCTGATATTGCCAACCCATTCAGCCAAGTGTGGGTGACTCTACCTTTAATGTTGAACCTGTGAATTGTGAGGGAGGCGTTTCCATTAATGTGATCTGGGGAGTACCGCCAAAGTGGATCACGGCCTAATCAACCATGAGTTTGCTTCCTTCCTGAGTGGAACGCGGGCAAAACAACAAGTCCGCACTTTGAGTGGGCTGGCCCAAACAAGTTGCCACTAAAATGGTCCAAACCCAAAAGTTTCGTCTGGCAATCTTTGCAGGAATCTCTTGATCCCACACAAGGTTGGCTCAAAATTGGATATATGAAACCCAACATTGAGACTAGTCTGCTCTTTTTCAAAGAAAAAACAATTCACTAGCAGACTAGTCTTTTGGAGCAGATACCCCCAAGACTTGGAGTTCCAAGCACTTGACTCGGAGCCCTTCTTCGGGGTCCTGCTCTGCTCAGCTGGATGCGCTCAAACTGGCGCAGGTGCTCTAGCCTGCTCCGATGAGTCTGGCGGAAACCAATTGATCAACTCCTGGGATTCCCATTGTCTGCCCGGCAAGACATTGAAAGCCCGGATGCTGCCACTTCAAGTGTCAAGTGTCAATGCCTAACAACATACTCACCACCTGGGACTTCCATCTACCCAACACCCATGATTTAAAAAGAATGGTGGATAGTGGTTGGGACTGTCACACACCCGGGTTTCGAGTGTGGTTCACGTACCCTCTCTTTCCAGTGGAAGCTGGTCCGGAAGGTATGGGACTATTGGTTCATTTTGGGCGAAATTCCACGTCCACTTCCAAGATCGTTGAATCTAAGGCAGTAGAACCTTAGGGCCGCAACCACGGGTGTGCTTTTCGGCGTACTAGAGGTGGTCGTGGCAAATGGAATAAACCCCCTCGGAAGGAAGCTTATTGGCACATCTGAGGGTTCTTAAGGTATCCTTTTGTGGGAGGTAAAGAACCCAACGTGGAGAATCTGCAAGGTCGGCTTTCAAGGTTGATTGTTTTTGGGCCACTGGGTTGTTTCACCTGAATTAAGACAAGAAACGGGCAAAAGGGGCCCGTTCGGATGCCTAGCTAGGGTCATTATTTTGACTGTACTGTTTTTGGGTTCTCAAGGTGGGAACATGGGGGTTGTAAGCCTGAGCTCGACCTGACTTTTCCCCAGAAGTTGACCACCGTGGTTCAAAACATCAGCTCCCAACCAGGGGCCAGCAACATTCACAGCATTCACATCTGAAGGCAATGCCTGCTAATGCCCACCTACAACCAGAAGCTAAACTTTTCCAAAAATGCAATAATAAAAGAATTACCCTATACATGAAGCGCAACACTTTTCCCACCAAGCAAATATGTGGCATGTTTTTTGTGTTTTTTCTTTTTATCGAAAACAAGTTAAACAGATAGCACCGCGCCATGGTTTCGAATGAAAATCATTCCCCAGCTGACGCAAACAAAACATTGCTGAAATCCCTTCAGAGTTCCTAGTTTTGATTCAGTCGGATGCATGGACCCTTAGTGGACTTTGACTGACTTCGGCTCCAACTCAGACTCACACCCCTGGGATTTCTTATCTTTCTTCAGGGTCAAGGGTCTGAGCCCTGACTCTCGTTTCCCGTTCTGTTTGCATTGGATTGTAGCCCGGCCGGCATTCAACAAGGAATGGCCACCTCCTTCAGCAAAATTCAAGTTGATTGAAAATCCTTCGGAAGTCAACCCTTAGCCCTGGCAACAAATGAAGCATCGGGCACCAAATATTCTCAGACAAATACAGCTAAGCAAACTCCCCACTGACCCCCCAGAATATTTAATCCCCTTTGTCTTTCTTCAGCGGCAAGGTCATGGGCCCATCATAAATGTGATTCCCATTCTCCTTGCAGACCCCAAATTTAGTTCATGCCTCTGCAAAAACGCGCCGCGCTACAGTGCCTGTGTAACGCCAAGGGTACAAAGAGACCCTTTAACCAGTCTTATGAACAGTCCACATTTAGCCAAATTGGAAGGTTTATTGAGGTGCTACTTGTGGTTGATCATATTATCCATGGCTAAGACATCTTGGACCATACGTTCCGCAGTCGTCTAAAACAATCACCTTTTCTTGGCCCACCTCTTGTAATTACACAGAAACTTATACTTTCAGGTCCTGTTTCATATGGCTGTGGGTCAAAACCAATGGTACCATTTTGGGGTAGGTGCACCACCCAATCTAGAACCTGTTTTAGTGGGGGTTGGCATGTTCACTGGGGGTACGATATGGACTTTGACCCATGGCTCAACCCGAAAATGATAAATGGCTGTGGGTCAAAAACAGGTACCCAAAATGGAACTCTCGCCCGCCGACTCGTTCGGGGCCCCCGCATCAGGCCCAGCACAATCAGACCTGACGGTCTTTCACTCGAGCTGTTTGCAACTGGTGCGCCTGTCCTTGGCTTTACATTGGCCATGGGTCAAAATCCAAATCCTACCCCCAGTGAACATCCCAAACCCACTAAAATGGACCAAAATGGGTGGTGCACCCAAAATGGTACCATTGGTTGTGACCCACAGCCATATTGGCCCTGGGGTGCTGGGTACTCCAAAAAATGGTTTGAGAGAGTCTGGTCCATATTTAGCCTACCAAAAAACAAAGTTTTGGAGGAGACCCCAAACATGTTCCCACCAAAAGCGGCCGTGTGTCCCCCCTTGTGCAAATTGGGAAGGTTTAGTTTCACTGCCTTCATTCTCAATCCGACCCTTCCCACCTGAAGGTCGAGAAGCGCCAGTGCTTCAGAGCGATGATTGAAATGAAGGGTTAGACTGCAATGGACATATATGGGGAACTCGCAACACACACAGGAGCGTTTGTCTCAAGATGAGGAGAGATCTCCAAGTGGTTGGTGTGCTGAAAAAAGGCACATCCACAATGGAAGGCTTCCTTTCGACGTCTCTCACCATACCCAGAGACTCAGTTCAACATGGCTGAAACAATCCGAGGTAAAAATCCGGGCAGTGTGGGGTGAGTCAACTAGTTTCTGAGCTTGGGTCTCGAGTTGCAAAAGAAGGGCGCAAGATCTCTGAGGTTCTTTGCCACATTCATGCAAGCAAGCATGGAACCTGTAGAAATCTTCGTGTGCCAAGTCCCCCCCTCACCCCACCCCCCACCCCCATTTGCAAGGTCGAGCAATTCAATTTCACCAACAAAAGTGTCCTTGTGCCCTCTTTGACCACCAAAAGACGGTCGGATGGGGAATCGCCGGTTCAGAATGTGCACGCAAAACCTATAGAAAAGAAACAACCTGTGAAGACTGCGTTTCGGAAGACTGCTTTCAGGTTAACTTCAGGGGAAACCAACAGGACAACCACCATTTTGGGTGACAGTGACTGTACACCTGAATGAAAAATATGTGTTGCGCCCCGGACACAGAAGTGGTATTGAAATGGTCTACCCAGAACCATGTAAAGAGTTAAAAAGGCGGCTGCGCCGGATCGAAAACGGGGAAATGACGAACCTCCGGGTACAAACCTTAGTCTATGGGCGAATCACCTGTTGAGTCTGAAAGATAGTATAGTTTTCGGAGAAGACCCCAGTACTGTCATGAGTGTTTCATTTTGGCATCGGAAAAGAGTCATCCCTTTGGCGCCCATCCATGATTCCACCTCCATAGCTGTCCTTCTGGGCCTGAGAGCCATATTGAAACCAGTGCCGATCACCAAAGAAGCCCGACGCCTACAAGTTCATACATTCACCCAGCGAGTCCTTTTCATTATGTAGACCAAAGGAGCAATCCTTCAAAAACCAAACATAAAGTGATTGTTGGGCGGGGACCCCGAAATGGTTGTTCCTTTTGATTTCCCGTTAAAAACCAAATAGCGGGTATCCTGAAAAAAAAACACACCCTGTTTGCCTAGCATAGTAGCTTTCCAAGGATGCACTGGGTTCAGGCGCTTTCTCTTTTCCCTGGCTCCCCCCTGGAGCTGCGTGTTGTCTCGGGCGCCGGCACAAAACTCCGCACATCACGGATGCTTGCACCAGCACTGAGTTAGGTCCTCCGTTTTACATTTCGCCGGTTCGCGGAGCCTGTGTGCCTCTTCTGAGAGGCGTTTCCCTTACCTAGGGTTCCAAAAGATTGAGCACCTCTAGCCAGTGGGAAAACTGGGAAGTGGGTTCCCTTGCTTGGGGCCGGCTTTTGGAGGGGAAGCCAAGGGAGAGCCGAAGCCCTTTTGCAAGGGGTTCCAACGGGTTCCACCGTCCCGAGACCGAAGACATGTGGTCACCGCTGCACCAAGAAATGCTTTGTGTTAGCTCATCCCAGAAGCCCAGGGAACCTTTTTGGGAGCTGACTGCTTGGGTGTTCGATTCGCCAAGCTTGCAAGTTGTTGGTCACCTAGTAAGAACCCACTCATAAGTCCCGCGTTCAGTTGGATTAGCCTTGTTAGGAGCGGTTGCCGACAACCTACTAACTTGACGAATCGAACATGAACTCTCCAAACCAACAAAAGGTTGCGCTGCTGAACTTGGAACATCTTGAAGCTCGCTCAAATCAGCCTAAGTTGTCAGAAGCTCCCCGGAAATGAATCTGGTGTCAAACGAACCAACACCCCGTTCCGGCTTTTACAAGAGGCTTGGGCTGCTGAACATCAGCAAAACACGGGCGAGCTATGGGCTGCCTGACCAACCCCCGCGATTGGATCTTGCTGAGATGCCCTCCGCTAACATGGATCTGTAATAGGGACCCTCTGGTGGGTTCCATGTTAGTGGACAATAGGGTAACCTAAAAAACATGACTGTTTGTGGGTTCCATGTCAATCAGACAGGTAGAGCATGGGAGAGCGAAGAACGGGGAAACAAGATAAACGGTTGGGCAACAATGAAAAGCCAAGGTCTTATCCAAAAGAAACTAAATACAACGCCATAACAAAAGTCCACACATCCCAACTGCGACGTAAGAACTGCGCCGTAAGGATCACGGGGCGTGTTCGAAAGGACTCGGTTCCTCTTCCTACTGCACAATTCGTTTTCGGGACCTAGTTATAGCTGTTCGGCCCCCTAGTAAACCCTACACCCAAGAGAAATGCCCCACACCTCAAACCCCAAACCTCACCAAACCCTGCGAGGGTAAGCCACCAAGCTTAAACCCCATCAAACCAGCTGGGTAAATTATCATTCACCAACCGGACAGAAAAACTGGACTCTCACAAGAACCTTCCCTTGTGAAATCCATCGCAACCACGACCCCAGACCCTGACGTCGCTAGTTGCCCAAAAGCCATAACGAGTGCATCCCAACAAAAACAAAACGCAACCCCAACTAACCCCGCCGAAAAACACAACACGCCTAGACTTCGCAATCCCAACTCATATCCTGGAGAAAAGAAGCAAGAAACAAGGCAAGAAAAAGAAAAAGACAAAACACCTCTCTGGCCTGCTCCCCTTCGATGCCCTGCGAAAAGTGTTTAACTTTCAGCAGTGGAAACTACCGCGAAATACCAACTACCACCAATTCATAACAAAAAGGACTGCCACGAATTACCAACTACCACGAATAAATAACCAAAGTAATTGCCACGGCTTACCAACTACCACAAATTCATAACCAAAACAACACAAAAAAACGGATGGCTGGCACCGGCTGAACTACCAAGCGACTTCGCATGCGGTCCTGGCCAGTCATAGCCCCAAGGCCCAAAGGCCATCGCGGCGGCCAAAGGCCTCGCTCGCTGGGTGAAGCCCCCGCCCACCGTGCGGATCGACCAGGCATTCTATGGGTCGTCGTCCGTTGTCAGGAATCGGAAATCGGAACCCCCCAAAATGGAGTTCGCATCGCGTATTTTTTTTTGGGGGGGTTCCCTTGAGCAACCACTCAAAAAAAGGGGGAATCTCAAAAAAAACGGAGCCATTCATTTGTGGGTTGATGAAAAGATTCGGTAAACATGGAGTGACCATTAGGGAAACCACACCAAAAAAGATTCGATTTGCACCACACATGGGACAACCCATGGTCATTTTCGGGCCCTAAACAGCAAATTCCAGGAATTCGCGGCCGGCTTTCATGATTCCAAAGCTGGTACCTTCGGCTTTGGTTCAAATCGCTGGGTTTGAACCTACGATGGATCTCCCAAGTACCTTCGGTGGCTGTCCATTTGACCAGAGGTCTGGTTCAAATCACCTGACCAATCCAACTGGGGTCGGGGTCTCCGAGTTCTGCCAAATTCACCAACTCAACCCAATCAGCGAACAAACTCTACGTGTTCAACACCGCTCGCTTGCCTCGTGAGACAGGGTGTGCTTCGACAGCATTAAAACCACCTGAAATGCTGACAAGCAAACACCAACCTGATGCCACACATGAAAGAAACGCAAAAACCATAAGCCAAACAGGAAGCCTCAATGAAACCAACACAATGGAATCAGACATCCATCCTGACCCTCGAAATCATCGGCTTTGGACCGACACTTCCCCAGAACACCTGGAAAGCCAATCAAGAGCAAAACATGCAAAACCCATCGCACCTCCATTAACTGGGATCCTTACATTATACACCTGAACATTGCCTTGTAAATGGTGGCTTCCATATATTTTGGCGGAAAAAGCCTTGTTGCAAGTGGGCAACATGTATCTTTCAAGGAGCCCTGCTTTACCGAAACCCAGACAGCCCATGGCTCACTGCTTTTCTGAGCGCCGTGCAGGAGGAGCAGCAAACTGCCACCTGCCATCATGCGCAACATTCCGCACGGCAAGCCGACGGGTGCATTGAACAATGGTTGCTTCTGTATCAAAATAAGACTCGCAAACAGGTGGGAGCGATTCAACACTGTCTAAAAATTATGGGACCCGACGGCCAAATTGCGAAATCAACCTTCTTGTGGCTTGCCTTTGGGACTTGGCCAAAGTGTGTCAGGAACCTTCGCCTGGCTCCGAAATCGCTGACAAAAGGGTGTAACAAACGCAACCGGAAAGGGGAAATAGGACAAAACCCATCTTTTGCTAGCCTCGAGCAACGCTGACAAATTGGATTGAAGAAACTTCGTTGGGTTCCTGCCATGCGCAGGGAAACATATCAACACACATCGGTCGGCGGGAAACAACGAGGAAGCCAACCGGGTCACCTTTTCTTGGGCGAAAAAGGTCGCTTTTGCCCCAAACGGATTTCTTAGCTTCCGACAGAGGGAATTGTTCCATCCCTGTGAAGCTTTGTGAGCTTCCCAAAGCAAACTGGTGCTTGCTTTGTCTTGGTGAGCCTTGGTTTGTCTTGGCGTGCCTTGGTTCCTCCACTGCTGCAAGAACCACGGAGTTTGCCTGAAGATGCAGGACCCCTTCATCTTCAAAGAACGAATCTGGGTGGCTTTCTCAAGAAACTCAAAAAGGGTAGCTCCAAAATACAACAGCTGCAGCCCAGATATGCACTCTGTGTGTGTGTGTATTCTTGTTTCTGCACACAGCCTTCGGGGCGCCAAAGCGCCGGGTCACAAAGACAAAGGAAACATGCTTGCAATGCAATCACAACCATGCGCAGAGCTGATGAGCAAGGCACAAACCATCCCTAAGGTACAAAAGATGCGATGACGCACGCAAATGTTCGGAAAATATTGCCTGTTGTATGAGCGCTTGTTTGCGAGGACAGGGCGTCCGTTGCAAGTTCAAGAGTCCGACTGCCCCGCAGGCAGCCGTCTTTGCACTTCGTTGGCGATTTCGCCAAGCACTTTGTGTTGCCACACCAGCGCCTGGTTACTCCATTGGGCCGCTCTGCCCTTCTCGCATGCCCAGTCTCGCAGTTGCGCGAGGTGCTGTGTGCACCTGACCACTGCAGCATGATCCGCGAGCCGGTTGAGCTCACGGCATTCGACCGCACTGTGGCCATCCGGCGGCTTCCAGATATGCACTATAGTACAAATGTATATGCGCACGCGCCTAGTAAACATCTACAGATCAGTATGGGACCCCAAAAGTATTGTGTTTGGAGGGATCGCTTCTGCAGAGCCGTGTTGTGCATTCATTGCTTTTCAGCCAACAAGACAAAGGTTCTTACGAGATACTACCGGTTGGAGTGTTCAAGGTCATAGTTTGCAAAATGGTATACTTACATGGGTGTGAACTGGGCACCCTTTGGTTCACATCAAATAGGTGGGGATTCATGTCCCCCAACCTTTGATGTCCGCAAATTCAACGGATTATCATATGGACCTTACTTCGGTGATAGCAAATCCACCCAAGCCACCACAGCCCTCCCCCTCCCCCCCGCCCACGTTGCAACCTCGCCTCGCCACACTCGGCGAGTCTGGCCCCGCACGCTGGCGCCCACCTCACAGTAGCGAAGAATCCATCCGGGTGGAACCTCAAAGTTGGAACCTGCGGTTGCAGACGTTTGCTTTTTACAAATTTCAGTGAAAAGGACAAGCATTTCACCACTCAAACTGTCCCTTTTATCACTCAAGCCATTCCTTGGAGTGAGGTCAATTTGTTCCATCTTCTAAAAAGCAACTCCCCATTCTGCCATAAATACATCTTTTTAGGGAACCGTCAAAACCCCAGGGCAAACAGCTGGTTCTTGGAAAAGAGCGGTATCGAAAAGAATGGGGACTCGAACCCCGGAAGATGTGTAGGTCGCCCGTTTCTGAGAGCAGGATGCTCGAAGTGCGGTCCTCAGATGCCCAGAGGACCCAAAGGCAAGGAACCGTTTTCCCGTTTGGGAGCCGTGACCAATGGACCGCTGGGGCAAAAAAAGGTCTAAAGCCCGGCTTTGGACAAGCGAGATGCCGGTTTTTCAGGGAACCCCAAAGGACGCCCATCATGTTTCAGGGTTACCCTTGTCTGAGACAAGCCCACTTGGGATCCATCATTTGATGTTGACTTCGGATTCAACTATGATGCATTGATTCTCCACTGAAATGGGAACCAAGCAAACAAATCCTGAGTTGACATTAGGGACTCTGGAGACCATAGGTGCTCGCTCTTGTATTCGGGAATCATTCACTCGCATTGTCCCCGGGCTGTGCAAACCGAACTTCCGGCAGATGAACCTAGAGCCCTTGGGTCGCAACCTCATCCCCACGTCTCCGCCCCAGGGAAGCCCTGGTCGCCAAAGGAAAATCCTAAACGTGGCCCAACAAAAAAGGGGTTCTCCGTACTTTGTTTCCGAATATGTTCCATATTTAGTCCACCCCAAAATAGAAAATATGGATGTTGTTTGATTCTGATCCATACTTAGTCTACACTAAACGTATTTTCTCCGAAGGGCTGATGCAAGCTACGGGGTCTCTGCCCGGCTCTAGCTCCGAGGTCGGAAGGGGTTCCGGCTGAGTTCGGGAACCGGGTGACCCCCTGCTGAGACAAACGAATTGGCAGTCACTTTTGTGGCCTCAAACGTAGTTGCCAGACGGAAACCCCTCCAAACACAGAAAAACACAAATTGGCACCACCCGTGTTTTGGGTTTTGAGTAGCCAGTGAAACGCCTCCAAACAAAAAAGAAGCAAGGAAGCAACCCACTGCTTGGTTGCCCAAAGGACCCAGAAATAAACGGTGATCGCCTTTTGGGGCCGCTAAAATGATTGCCAAAAGGGAAAACAAAAAGGTCAGGTCCGGTCGATTCACGTGAAAGTGAGACGTAGGTGTGGGTCAAAAATAGGCACCCATTTTGGGAACCCTGGTTGATGAAAAGGACTGAAACCTGTGGTCCGGTGGTTGAATCTTGACCCATACCCCTGTGGTCTTTTTTAGGGGACCCCTCAAATGATGGCTTTCCTGTTGTTTTCCCTTTACAACCACCAACAAGGGGTACCCTCAAAAAATTGGTGGACGCAAGTTCTGCACATGATGTCCACCAATTGGTTCAAAATTTGGTAGACACCCCCAGCTGTGGTTGCGGCTCAAAATGGAATAGCCAGGGTCACGCAGGCAGCCCGTGGTTCCAGTATTACCCAGACTCTATTTGTTGCTAATGTTTGTTTCAGCCACAGCCATGTGGTCATTCTTTGGACCCCGCAACATGGTGGTTTTGCTGTTGTTAGCTTGGACAAACGAACAAGCGGGGATTCGGATGGATTCCTTGTCGCCATTTCCCATCTCAAACTTAGTCAGGGTGCATCAAACGGGGGACTCCCACCCTATCCCTGGTTCTCACTGTATCCCTGCCAGTTGGTTTCCCGGATTAGGCGAGGTCCTCCAGAGAGGTTAAAATAATTTGGTACCCGATGTTTTTTCTGTGGTCTATTTTAGTAGGGGTTCCCCTCCCAACCAACAAAGGGGAGAGAAGGGGCACCGTTCTGTAGTTTATCTTAGCAGGGGAACCCTCCCCCCAAAAAGGGGGACTCCCACCCTATCCCTGGTTCTCACTGTATCCCTGCGAGTTGGTTTCCCGGATTAGGCGAGGTCCTCCAGAGAGGTTAGAATAATTTGGTACCCGATGTTTTTTTTCTGTGGTCTATTTTAGTAGGGGTTCCCCTCCCAACCAACAAAGGGGAGAGAAGGGGCACTGTTCTGTAGTTTATCTTAGCAGGGGAACCCTCCCCCCAAAAAAGAAACGGTAAAAGGGCACCTAGCTGGGGGACCTAGCCTGTTGTTAGAACCCAAACCCCCCCCCAAAGTAAAGGTGAGAAAGGGCACTACTGGGAAACCTAGCCCGTTGTTAGGGGGATGTGGCTCTACCGAAGAGTTCCTCCGGTCTTCCAAAAACCGAGGCCCTCGCGGCGATGCTCATCCGTGCCGCCATGTCGATCTGCCGCAGGCACTCCTGAGGGAACGACAAGTCCGGTTTGGGTGGCTCGTCGTTTTTTCGGGTTGGACGTCCTCAAAATGGTTCTCCCTTCAAAACGGTTTTTAAATAGGTTTTCCTGGTGGGTTGCCCGGAAAACCACCAAAAAGAAGGTTTCAAAATTAAAAACAAAACAAAAAACACACCCGTGTGTCTCCGTAGTTTTGCTGAGGACCCTACTCACCTTGCAAGGAAATGATCTATAGAGGGTTCCTCTCGGGGCCTCAGGCTTGGCAGCTTTGACAACTTGCTGTGGAGCTTCAAAGGAGCCAGGGGCACGTCGGATGGGATCGAGGAACTCAAGGCTGATTTTTTTTGGGCTTGCAACCTGAGGACATCCACATCACTTCTGCAAGGGCCGAAAAAGACCTGCGAATGTCTCCCGACTTACTGCCCTGCAAATGACATGAAATCCAAACACGCCACCATGTCTTGCAGGTCGGCATGGAAGGCGTCATAAGTGTTAGCATTCATTCACCTAACACCACCGCCAATTCCGACCAGTAACCATGATGGATTTGGACAGGACTGAAGCCCTTGTCGGCAAGTCCGAATATTCCATCTGCAAACAATCTTCAAAGCCTGAAATAAGAGATCCTTGAGAAAAGGACCTCCATCGTGTTACCTATGCCATGCCATAGATTCCACTGGCGAATTCATATTTTTCCCCATCAAAGTCACCCCTCGGGTAGGGGAAAAGAAAACACTTCCCGTTTCCGGCTTTGAGCCCCAAAACCCACCTCAACAGCGGCCCCCAGCTCCATCAGGTAAAGGTCGCGAGCGACGAAACCAAAACATCGGCGCCTCGAAGGATGTGACGACATTGTCCCAATGTCGCACCTGGCAATCGCAGCGGAACCACGCGATGCGACAACGAAAAACGTGGCACTGCGTGGTTGCTTTCCCACAAGAGGGTTGTCTAGAGAAAACACCACGCGGTATCACCATTTCATAACAAGATCAAGCAAACAACACGCCACGTGGCATCACCTTGGCATAAACAGGTCCAGCAAACAGAAACGCAATGCAAGAAGTGCTGATGCTACAGATTTTGGCTGAAAGAGACAGCTTTTGCAACAGACTCTTGCCTCCGCAGTGCTGCTCTGTCCAGCCTCCCCCGCACGCTGGCGGTTCCAGCCGCTCCGTCCGCCCGACGGCCATTCTTGGCTGTTCCAGCCGCACCCGGCGCAGAAAACGACGCGCCCCGGCGAAAACGCCTTCCTTGCTGATGCAGGGCTCCTCAAAGAGGACCATCGTGCCATGTGTAAAATGTGCAGCGCCGTGCCGCGCCGGTCAGCGCCATGACCCGTTCATAAGAAGGTTGACTAAACAACAAAGCAGCGTGGTATCACGCCGCTCTAAAGCAGCAAGTGTGCATTTGTGACGAGACATTGTTGCCCACTGAGTAATGTTCTTCTTGACTGCTTGGATACGTTTGTAGAAAGGTACGGACGATGACAAGTTGTGATTCATAGTTGCGACTTGTTGCATGTGTCGCACCTGTGTCTCAAAGAAGGGACGTGTCCAATGTACATCAGTTGACTAGACTGTTCTCGAAACCCAAATAGATCGCGCATCAACTTGCAATGTTGACGGACAAAGGCTCCCCAACTCAATTTAGGCGGTCTATAGTATCAGCCATGCCAAACATGTCTCTAACTTAAGCATATGCTTTGACAGCAAAACCTCCAACCTCCATAGTGTATAACATCAGTCAGTAGTTGCACGCCACCATCAAAATGGTTTCTCCGGGTGTTGCCACTGGTGCTTTTCTGCTGCTTAGCAGACCGACGCACTGGAATCCGAAAGTTTGGATCAGGGGCGAGCCTCAAATAACCCAAGCGCGGTATCTCCCCATGGCATGAGACTCGGTACCTTACTTCCAATCAACGTGCAGGCCTGTCAGCTATGGATGTTGGGGGGAAAAGCACAACAACCACGTGTTGGACACTAATCTGCCAGGTACCCTTCAGGTACTACGCTTTCTAGTTGATTTTCGGATACCTGGGCCATCTGCTTCTTCGCCACAAAAAAAGTTTCAGGCCTTTGCCTTTCTGGCAACCCACGGTCACGAGTCACGTCTCCCAAAACCAAAACGGCGCCCTCCGGAAACGAGGAACAAATGAGGCCATGTTGTGGGGCTCTGGTTTGGGACTGGTACTCGAACCAAGATCAATGTTCAAGTCTAGATCAGGGGAGCCACAAAAAGGTTCCTTCTCTTGACAGATCAAAATCTAGAACCCCTTGGTTAATTTTTGACCATCCCATCTTCTTGGTTGACGTTGAAAGGGGAGCATTTGATTTTTAAAGTTCAGTGAGGGATCTCAACCACCAATAAGCAACCATGCAAAATGTTTCCCAACAACATTGCCCCCACACCACCCCACCACCCACCCCCGACCCCCCGACCTGCGTTGACCCTTTGGAGGCCATCGTCTTTGACCCGTTTGCTGGTTGAACACCAAACCCTCCCCACCCCATATTTTACCGCACGCCCATCCGCCGCACGAACTCCCCCGCTCTCGGGGCCTTGGCGCGCAGCACCTCCCGCACCACCGCCCGCCGGTTGGCGGCAAAGGCCTGGCCACGGAAAAAACGGCGAAGCCAAGACCCCTGGAAAATAAGACATATGACCAGCTTTTGCTTGAGACCCCTGGACAAAAAATGCAATGTGTCCAGTAGTGAGACATTCCCTTTAAAACCAACCTTGAGACCCCTGGAAAAGAACATAATATAATATATATATATACGTCCAGTAATTAGTGATTAAAAACATCTTTAAAACCAGCAGGGGAATCAAAACAAAGGTACCCTCCCGCCCACTTCGCCATGGCAAAGTTAGACGACACGGTACCTTCAAAAGGAACTTGATCTTCCAAGTAGCACCCAGGGGGCATGTTTGGAGGAAGGGTATCAAAATGGTCTACCCAAACCCGGGGATACAGGATATACCTGGGCACACCCGGAGTCATGATCCTTAAATGGGGTTGCCCCCTAATTTGGGGACCCATTTTTAAAGGGTTTTTGGAGACTTCAGCTATATACCCAAAAACATGTACAGAATGCCTAACGTTCATCTACCGGGGTTTTGAGAATGTGGCTCAAAATGGGTGTTCCTTTTCTGCAAGTGCATTGCTGGTTCTCAGTAGAATCAACGGAGGTTTTGGAATCGGAAAGGAAATCATCAGTTGGGGAGATCCGGTTATACTCAAAAATATTAGGAAAGAATTACATACGAAATCTTATTAAGATAGAATTATTATCACATATATTTAATAAATGCGTATTGCACTATCTAATTCTTCTTTGCGATATCGTGGACTTCCAACTCTTCAACTATAAGGACATGTCCAAAATAAACTCCAGTCTGTGTCCTCATGACAAATTCCAAAGAACAAAAAAGACAGATGAAGTGGTTGTGAACATAATGACATCCACGTATATTCAAAAAATGTACAAGAAACATCAGACATGTTAGGAATGAATGACATGTCAAAGAGTTCAATGATGGAAACCAGATTAATAAAAATCGAGATGGAATTATACATGCGAACGAGCCACCCATTGTGGGCCCCAACACCATTCCCCCTGCCCGGGACCCTCAGCATTCAGCCTCCAAGGGCAGCTCGTTGTCCTGGACCTTGATGTGGTTCGAACCTCCGCACATTCGCAGAGACGTGCCCAGAGAAATCCACCGCTGCCTTTTTGGACCACGGCCATGGGTCAAAATCCAAATCCCGTACCCCCAGTGAACATCCCAATCCCAACTAGACTAACATGGGTGGTGAATTCACCTACCCCAAAATGGTACCTTTATGAACCCATATGGGCATGGCTCAAAATGAAAGAGCTTCCATGCTTCAAACGCTGCATGTAGAAAAAAAACTGGACATTACAGGAAGTGCAAGCTGCCTGAAACACACCACAAACAAATGCCGATGGATGGGATGCTTAAGCGCCTCTAGCAAAGACCTTGTAAGTTGCATTCAGCTCATTTATCACCTTTAAGCATCATCCCCAAAGGAAAAAACACGTCGAATTGGCGCCCAAAGGCTGATGTCAAAAACTAACAATAAATCGACGAATTGCTTAGCGTCGACCGGATGTGCATAAAATCCTCGCGCGGATTCGCCCACGAAAACAGAAACGAAGGCCCACCCGTCTGGTGGTACCTTCTACATGGCTCCATGATGGCTATAACCTGATTGAATGAAGCGGCTCCGAGCAGTCGACCTCATTTCCTGCCAAACTTAATGAATAGTAGTGCAGGTGTTTAGTTATGTTCCATGCGCCCTACAGCTCGACTAATATGAAATCAGATCAGACCCCGGTCTTTCGACCTGAGATCAAGCACCTCGGCTCCCCTTTCAGCCCACTCAGTCCTAGTGGGACTAGCCTTGAAACTAGGGGTTAAAGCCCAGGTTGCCAAAAAACCTTTACTAACTTGGTGAATTTTGAATCAAACATCCAAGTGACCAGTCTTGAGGCCAAATACGGCGACTCTAGGCACCAGAGCGATGTTCGGGCCCCGAGCCATTGCGCTCATTGTACATCGTCCAGACCATGGGGATGTCCTGTCGAAAGACACGACAGGAGTAGCGTTTCCGATGAAACATTGGCGCGCGAAAAGGAAAAGGTGATGTGAACGAAAACAAAAGGGCGAAAAGGAAAGGTAATGATATATATATACAATATCTATTTACTAAAAAACAGGAGCCAAGGGACCTTACCCCCTCCCCACCCCTCCCATTTCAAGAAAAGAAAAGTACCAAACGCATAAATATCCCCCCCCCACTGTGCAAGCCTTCTTGGCCGCAAGTTTGGCCCCCTAAGGTTTCCAAACCTCGCCCTGGTGGCTCTTTGGGGGAAGGTCCCAACCAAACCACCGGCCCATCCACCGGCATTTTGTGCTTCTGGTCATTGCTCCAAGCACCAAAGAAAAAACAAGAGGAAGATATGGCTGTGGGTCAAAAATAGGGTAACCCGAAAATGGTAAGTGGAAACATGGACAAAAACATCTGCGCTCCCCTGGTGTTTCAAGATTGACCCACCCATATGAAGGCCAACGCCTCTCGCGGCGTCGGCCGAACCTTCACTTTCTGTGGGCCTTCCGGGCAACCTCCCACCAGCAAAAAACCCAAGTGCGAGCGTTGGTGGTGTGGTTTTGTGCTGGGAGTTAAAGCCTTCATATAGAAACCCTGACCTCACCAATCCAATCAATCTTTGAGGCATATCCCCCCCAACCTTTGGAACACCCCCAGAATCGCAAAAAAGCCATCCACCTGGGGCTACGGAGCGTGTGGTACCTTCGGTTCGCTCAAAAACCAGCGCAGCACCAACGCAGTGCCACCCCCCCCCCAATTTGCGACCTCCCGCCAAGGCAAGATCCTTTGGCAGAAGGGGAAACATGCTCCAAGAAGGGAAACAAGTTGACAAGGGCCCTCGAGCTCCAAAACGGGCGAGCCCCCGACGCGAGGGAACTCGGAGCGCCTTCTGAGGGATCACCTTGGACAGGGCCCAGCCTGCAAAGGTCGGCGGAAACGGCGGTTGCAGCTGGTGAAACTTTACAAACAAAACAAACAACTACTGTAAGTTGGGGGTAGGTTGGGGGTAGGTTGGGGGTAAATTGGGGGTAAATTGGGGATAGGTTGGGGGTGGGGTTGGGTAGGGTCGGAAACCCCTGGGTGTTGCGTGCGATTACCCCAATACCAAAGGCAGAAAATGGCTGGCAAAGAACAACCGGCTCATATCTGTTCAGGTCCAAATAACTGACCCGACTCAAAGAAGAGCCAACGTTGGGAAAGCGTTTCCAACGCGGGAAGCCGTGGGCAATTCAAAAGCTTTTGACACTCCTCGTCACTGCCACATTTGCATGAATCATATAAGTCAGCTGCACTCATTTGTTTTTCATTCCTCAGTTAAGTGGGAACCACCACTTTTGTTTTTTCTATCCTGCGTTGAGTGGGAACCACCGCAGAAACCACAACCAATTAATTCAGCCACCAGAAAACCGCAGGTTTGAGTCCTTGTGTCCCCAGATTTATCAGGCTTCCATTTGGGGTTACCCTATTATTAACCCACGCCCATGGTGATGTCGATACTTCCCTTTCGGCCCAAATTGGAAGCCGAGGCAGTGGGTCTGTGAACAGATCGCTGCATCCGACGCGAGGCAAGAGGGAAAGTAGCTGGGACCAGTGGCTTTCCATGTGCTTGATGGTTAGTATGAAGGGTACTTGCAGCAAGTGGCGGGTGTAAGCGCGCGCGCAAGAAGTGTTTGTCGAACCCAGCAGCTTTTGGACATTCAAATCCCCAAGCCAATGCACGCCGCCAACTGAGTCATTCATTTAAAGCCAGGGGGTCCGAAATCAAGACACCCCGACCTGGTGATTTCCTGTGTTTTCTCGGCTCGACTCGGCCTAAGGTGCCATAAGCCCGTGCGAAGTCCACGTTGTTGTCCAACTGATCCACCTTGTTCAGGACAACCTCAGACCGTACGTGGCCATGTTGCTGGGTGCTTTCCACAGGGTGTCTGCAAAATCCCACAAACTACCACTCCTGTGTTGGCTTGCTGTTGGAAACGTCAAATATCCTGGGTTAATTCGGAAAATCAAGCATTTCTGGGTTCTTCGGAATCCGGAGATGCAAACAAAAGGCTGGTTCCCCTCTGCACGTGTCACCCAGCCGTCCATGGTTTCCCTACATGCCAGTGGGGAAAAGGATCCCTTTTCGGGTACGAAAAGCCCATTCCGGCCGCTCAAAAGGCAGCTGCCAGCGTGCCAGCATTGAGAAACTGCAAAAAAATGGAACTGAACTGTTTCCTAGTTGGTGGATAAAGACGTAGAACCACGAAGGCGGTCATAGCCAGCGCTGTTATTTTTTTTTTGAAGGCTACAGAGCACCTGCCTTTGGGAGGGCCCCCAAAACCCGGACATATTGAGAGCTTGAGGGACCTTGGGAGCTGCGACCACCCGAACTCTAGGTGAATTTCTTCAAACCGCATAGTTTTGGAGCAGACCCCCCCCGCAAACTACTCGACTCACCCTTTATGATGAAGGTCACTGGCCTCAAAATTTAACATGTGCCTTACACTAGTTTGGAACCACCAAACATGGCCAGCCCAAAGGTTTAACAACCCTTTTGGTTTCACCTGCGCCCCAAAATCGGTTCGGTCCCCTTCGCCTCCAAAAAATACGGGCGCCACCCCCCAAAAACCCGTTCCTTCAGCCTCCGACCAGGAACTTGTGATCCAGTCCGGCCAGGGACTTGGTCAGCACCTCGCCGGCGCCCGGGATGGGATCCCCTTCACTGGTCTCATCTGAAGTTTTCGAGTGATTGGCCCGGAAGAGGCCCGGAAACTTGAAAAGTGGTTCAAGTCCGGAACTCAGGGAGTGAGTGGTAGGTTGAAGGGCCTTCAGGAGGTTGAAGGGAAACAAACAAACCAACCAGTAGCTTTGGCAGCCCAGCCACGAACTCGCCGCACAATGCCAGCGGAACCCGAACCCCGAACCCTCCTGAAAGCTGCTCCAAGCCACCCCAGAGCTTGTTTCAGCAATGGAATCGCGACTTTTCTTCCGCGTGTTTTCTTGTTTTGTCGTGTCATTGCGCCGTTTTGCAGGCATGTATTCAGACACGCCAATACCCCACCTCTTTTTAGGGTATGATGCCAACCCCTGACAACAAAGCAAGGTAAATACCGCGGGAAACCCGGCTCTTCAAACTATGTGTTTTGTTGTTGCTTGTTTGGTTTTTAAGAGAGTACTTGGAGTAGTACTTGGGTGAATATAAGGATGAACTACCCCTGATGGACAACGTGGAAGATCTTCCACAAATACATCTCAGTTGGACTTCACATGCCATTTGTTCAACGCGCTTTCTGTCGGCCACAGTCATAGTGTCGTCAGAATCCTTATAAATGGTTGCCTAATGTTGTCTAAATGCTTAGAGGGTGAATGACCATCCCTGCCAACCTCAAGTTCAAACATATGGGTGTGAATTTTAATTAGGCACCCTTTAGTAACATCATTTAGGTGGGGATTGATGTCCACCCACCACTTCTCAGCGGGTTCCCTATTAAAATTCATAGCTTTTAAGGGGGTGTCGCTTATCCTTTTTAGGGTTGGTTGAAAAATGGGACACCAAAAGGACAACCGAAGCCATTTCGAAGGGCAGGCAGCGGCTTGGTGTGTCTGCTCGAAAAAACAACAATATGCTGGCCGGGGTGGACGGTTGTTTTGGTTGGCTTGGGTTGGTTGGTGTCAAGGATGGTTGCTTGGTTTGGCTGGTTGGTTGGCCTGGGTTGGTTTCATGGTTGTTTTGGTTTGTGGGTTGGTTGGGTGATAGCATCTTTCGTGTGCCAAAAGGGAAAAGCGCGCCTCTGAACTTGGCTCGGATTGGGGGGAAGCAAACATGTGCATATTCGAGGGCTCGGTGTCCTAGGGCGTTGCTTGAGCTGGAGAGTGATTTCGGTGTCCTGTTTGTTGGAGGGTACTATGTTTGCCTTAGTTAAATGAGAAACCAAACGGGAAATCACCCAGTTTGTTTGGGGGGTGCCCCGATTTTAAGACACACCCAGTTCATTCACAAGCCCAAATATTGGGATCATGGAGCTGGAAACCTTCATATTATGTCGGCCCAAACCCCAGTAGATGAGGTCGTAATGCGAAAAAAGCAACCCAACGAGCGTATGACTGTAACAGTATGTGTCGCAATGGGAGACCCATTTTCCCAATTTTCGAGTGGTTACCCGTTATATCAACCAAAAAGTGCTTCCTAACCAAAAAAGAGAGAAACACACCCGTTTGTCGCGCAGCCCTGGCTCAGGGGACCCGTTCTCTCAATGACTTCGTCATACTTGAAGACCCTCGGATTGTAAAGGCCGTCGGGAAGAAGCATCTTTCGCCTTTGGCTGAACTAAGAGGAAACCCGCCGGGTGCAATCCACTTGGCAAACTGACACCTACCCCTGCCACTCAAATCAAAGTGACATGTGCCTGTCGGGTCTGCAATGCCCAGCAAAAGAAAAGCACGAGACTCCTGACTGAAGCTGGGTTGTCTCTGGGGAAACAAGTGGGTGGTGTTCCCTTGGTTTTCCCTTGGCGAAAAAAGCAGCTACCCTCCGACCACTAAGTCCCGCGATTCGGCGCTCGCCGCCTTGTACGTTTTTATGTTTTTCGCGAAAACGCATTGCGAAACCGCAGATAGATTGTGGCTGGATGCCGTTCAGGAGCTGTCCAATCTTTTTCGGCCTTCCGCAAGGTCGAAAGGTGACTTTATGATAAATGAATTGAACATAAGGGTTGCCTATGACGGGTAAGGTCACAAACCAAAAGCCCTTGCGAGGTCGCGATTGAAATTCGCCAAATCAGGTAAAGTTAAAAGCCACAGGAACAGATAAAAATCGGAGTTCAAGATCCGGTGCCTGTAGCTGCAAGCTGATGCCAGGCAAACAAAAATGGGAGCTATAGTTGGAACCACCTGGTATATATTGCTTGTTCGCTTTGGGGTGTGCCTCAAACGATCACTTCCATGAAGGTGTTTGGCGCTGGGGAATGACTCGTCACCCACCTGAACTGGAAAACCCACAAGGTGCCCGTCACTTCTTGTGGGGATTAGCCCCACGAGTCACTTGTCAGGCTTTTTGTTGGTCAACATGACCTGCATCAAAGGACCAGAACAAAAAAAGAGAAGGCATCCTCCTGGCAGCAACCAGACCTTTCTGGACTCTATATACAATCCCAGTGCTTCCAGGCAAGCCACTGTAGGGAACCATTAGGGAACCATTCATGCAAACCTAGAGGCAAATTATATAAATAACTACCTACTATGTAGTGATTTGTAGTGGCTTGCGTGGATGCACTGGGAAGCGGCAGCAAGGCAACTCAGCTTTGTGCTTCAGCTGCTACTGCTACTGCTACTGCCGCTGCTGGAACTGCTACTGGACCGAGCTCGATTCAGCTTCTGCAGCTGTTTCTCGATCTTTCGCACGTCTTGCTGTGCGGTCTTCAGCTTCTTCCTCTCCATTCGTTCCTCGTCGGGCGAATCAAGCCTTCAAGCATCTTTACACCACTGTTTCCAAGAAACAAAAACACCGTTAAAGAAAAACAAACTTATGGTATCCACGAAACAACAACATCGTTTTAGAAAAACAAATCTGTTAGGGGCCCTTTTGGTGCCAATGATATTGATAGCTCCTCATCTATCTACGGGGTACTGTTCTGCTTCATATTTAGCCTATCTCAAAATCTAACACAATGCTAGAGGAAACCCCACGATTGTTCAAACAACCTCCTTTCGGCTTATGTTTAAAGGGAATCAGTTGGTTGCAACACATATGGCCCAACCCTACTCCTCCTTCTGCATTTGCAAGGCCAACTTGTCCTCCTCGGTCTGAGGCCACTTGCGCTTCCGCCTCATTTGCAGTTTCTTGGCGGCCTTCTTCTTCTCCTGAACACGAATTTGTGGCACCACCCTACACCAAAGCCAAAAGGAAAATGGCGAAGGGCTACCTACTATAGTGGTAAGCACGCTTCACTGGATTAGTCCATAGAATTGCAACTGAGATTCCAATGAAAAGTCTTGCAAACGGCTTCCCTACTGTAAAATAATAAGCTCAGGCGATATCCCCAACAGCACCCTCCAGAGCCCTCCCAGAACCCTGGTGGAACCCTCGTTGGAACCTTACCTCAGGGCCGCCTCGGACTACCCCGGAGCCTATCTGGGCTGAGACCCCAAAGCTTTCAGCTGTTGAGGAAAAAAAAAGTTCCCGATGGTATCACAGAAGTGGGATTCCCAACCGTTCCTACCTAGGCGGCTGCGTGGTACCCGTTTGGGGTACTGTATGGGTTTGTCTCCAAATGAATAAATAAAATGGAGTTCCTTTTGGCTTCCCTCAAAACGACCACAAAAGCAAGCTTCTCTTGTTAATTCCCCATGTAAAGGGGAGGCCTTTTGATCGGTATCACACAAGTTGGAACCAACATGGCCATGGGTCAAAAACCCGTACCCCCAGTGAACATCCCAATCCCTATTAAAATCGACTAAAATGGGTGGTGCACCTAGCCCAAAACGGTACCATTGGTCTTGACCCGCAGCCATCTCACTCCAACATACTCCAACAACCTGCCTTCGCCAGTTTCTCCCTCTTCTTTTCCTTCTCCCTCTTCTTCTCCTTCCGAATCCGACCGGATGCCGACCGAATCCATTGTCGGGAAACGCAAAGAAACCTAATTAACACTGTAATTTGCAGAAACTCGGCCTGGCTTGGAAGAATCCCCTACCCAATAAGCCCAACTTCAACTTCCACTTCCCAGATGATGGAACAAGGGAGCCGACCAGGTCCTTCTTCTCCGCTTTTTTGGCTTTCTTCTCCGCCTTCTTATCTTTCCTCGGATCCCTATGGCAATGGGTCGATCCCTGAGGGCGGACCTAGGCGACCTAGGGTCCCATTTGTCGAGCCCCCGAACGGCAAAGTGTGATTCCGTTTTCATACCGAGCGCCTTTTTTTCAGTTTGGGCTCTGCAAAGCTCCCAGGAAATCACAGCTAGGCTCGTAACGCTCAGTGACCCGCAAACCATTCGCAGGCCAAGAACTACGCCCCTTTTGGATGGATCGAAAGTGAAACCAAAGGCGGCCAAGTGGAGTTGAAACCAAAGCCACTTCCAGTTACCATAGGCAATCGTTTTAGGTCACAAGCCCGATGGCCATGGGCCCATAGGGCACCCCCTTTTGGTTGGTTTTCAAGTTAGAAACCCTTCCCACAAAAAGGGTTAAGGCACCCACTGGTTGCAACTGGGGACTGGGACAACTGGAAGCAACTGAAGCAATGTGTGTGTGGCTTGTTCTGAGGGTACCCTTTTCGGCTTTGGGAACATGTCCAGGAAAAAACAGTGCTGTTGGCAGGTATTTAGGCACACCCGCAGCGAGCTGCGGCCAAGCGTCTTCACCTTCCCTCCCGGGTTCTCCAGATCCTCCCTGACCTGCTTGGATTCATCCGCCAGGCTCCAGACCTCATGCTTAACTTGGCACAACCCCATTCAAATTCTAATCCTTCAGGCCCTAAGAGGCCATATTCTGGGGTATGGGTTTGTTGTTGTGGAGGGTGCTCCTTGTTTTCTTTGCACCAAAACCAACTGGACGACCACCATCTTGGGGTCCGAATCCAAAAACCAACGCGAGCGCCTCGACCCCACGCCACCTTTTCGGTCGTCGCGCGACCTTCGCCGAGGCGCGAAGTCGCCTTTGTGGGTGGGGAAGGCCGTCCGCTTCGCCAGCGGCAG